TCATTAAGTTCCTGTTTTGAATCGAGAAGAACCCTGAGATCCATTCCCTGTTCTAATTGAGGTCTTACAAACTCTCTTTTTTTAATGTGTTCGCTCACCTCTCTAATTCAAAAATAAATGAAATCAGGTACAAAAATTCATACTGTACTACTGGAAAAGAAGAAAAACAAATACATGAGGAAATTGGGTAAATGTAAAATTTTGATTGAAAAATAAAACAAAGTCAAGGTTAAGACCAGTACATGAAATCTGAGCCATAGGTACAGAAGAGATCACCACATTTGACTCAGATCTTCCCAGCAGCCAAAGCAAGAAAATCACTGGCTTCATAGCTTTCAAAATATAAATATAAATTAGTTCAGCTTTTTATGATACAAAGCTGAGGGGAATTCTTCCATTGTCTTCATAAAGGGATACTTTGAGATGTAGTACATTGTACTCTTAATAAAACCCCTACAAAAAAAAAAAAGAAATCTTTTTTAGCACTTAAACTCTTTCTTTTTATAATGTTGCTCACATAGGTCCAGTACAGTGGTTGGGACATTATAACATAAGCATTTCTAGGAGGGGCCAGGTATGCAGGTGTTAATGGTCTGACTTGACCCTGAGATAAAATTTTTCATATGATAACTAGGCTTTGACCACTCAAGAAACCATTCATTAATATGGCTTCTTACCATCTAGCACTGATGGTAATTAAGAAACAGAGAGTTTAGCATCACTTATATTCTCTGGCAAGAAATTAAAGTGCAAATATCTTGTGTTGCCAATTTGATAATCACATTTAACATCCTCTTATAAAATACAATCTAACATAGAAATAACATGTATCAAAATTCTAATGGAGGTGGACTTCTGCTTCCAAGAAGATGAGGTAGATGAACTTTTCTCTATGCTTCCCACTAAGTACAACTAAAACCCTTTATATGTAAAACTAACATAAAGAAACTCTGAAAGGTGAGAAGAAGTCATTTTGTCTAGGGACCTCAGGACCCAAGGAACAACATAGCAGTGAGTTTTCTGTGTTTTCTTTTTGCTCATCCCAGAGTTAGAGTCAAGGAAGCCAGCAACCCAGAAACAGCAGCCAATGCAGACAAAGTAGCCTGCTCTCTAGCCAAAGAACCAGGAAAGGGGCAGCCTAGAAAGACAGAAACTATGGTTAGACAATAACTGCTTTTCTCTAGACAAACACCACAGATAAAAACTGTGACCCTGAATCCATCCACACAGGGAAAGAACAAGTGAAGTCTTAGATTTTCACCCTCATGAGGCTGTAACAAGGCGGTCAGTATCCCCATGTGGGAAACCTGGACTTTCATCGCCACCTGCCAGTAATGAGGTATCCCTTCTCCTCCCCTTTGGGGTTGTGTCAGAAGAGGTCTAGTGGAGATTCAGGACTTCCATCACCACCCAGATGTAACAAGGCCACTCTTCTTCCACACGCCCTTCATGGTGTCAGTGAAGCTAAGGGGAAGCAGTAAAAAGGCACTTCTGGCCCTTGCAGCTGGGGAGGTATCAGTGGAGACCTGATGAGTGTCATCCTCTCCCAGCAGTAACAAGGAGGCATGTCCCTCAGGTGTTAAAGCGGGCCAGAGAGGGTGCTTGGGCAGTAACAAGGCAGCATCCTTCCCTTCTTCTGCCTTTGTGGTGTCAAAGGAAGCCAACTAAAACAGATGGCTTCCTATATGTTAAGGAACCTCTTAACATAATACCAAAAATGTTAAGATTTCAATTGAAAACCACTTATCATACCAAGACCCAGGAAGATCTCAAGCTGAATGGTAAAATGCAATAGATGCTAAACACCAAGATTAAAAAGATGTTAGAATTATTCGACAAAGATTTTAAAGCAGCCATCATAAAATGCTTTAACAAATTATTACAAATATGCTTAAAACAAATGAAAAAATTACTAAAATTAATGAGGTGATCACATTGTAAAGTATAAAAATGTTAAATTACTGTATGGTACACCTGAAACTAATATAACGAATATGATATTGGATACCAACTATACTTAAATAACAAAAGAAAAAAACAATGTCAACAAAAACATAGAGGATATAAACAAGAACTAAATGGAAAGTTCAAGACTGAAAATTACAATAACTAAAATGCAAAACTCAGTTAATGGGCTCAACAGCAGAATGAGGAGAATGTAAGAAAGAATTAGTGAACTGGAAGATAGAGCAATAGAAATTAACCAATCTGAGCAACAGAGAGAAAATAGTCTGAAAAAGATGAACAGCCTCAGGGAACTGTGAGATTATAACAAAAGCTCCAACATTCATGTCATCAGAGTGCCAGAGGAAAGGTCAAAGATGGAGGGGATGAAAAAAAATAATGTCCAAAAACTTCCCATTTTTTTTGTAATAGACAAAATCCTACAGATTCTAGATGCTGAATGAACCTGAACTATGATGGATCTAAAGAAGTTCATACCAAAACGCATCATAGTCAAACTTTTGAAAACTAAGGAATTTTGAAAGGATCTTCAAAGCAAGAAACAACATCTCACCTATAGGGAACAAACAATTCTAATGCAAATAGAATTCTCATGAGAAAATATAAAGTCAAAGAAGTGTAACATTTTTCAATTGTTGAAAGAAAAGAACTATCAACCCAGAATCCTATATTCTTTAGGAATGGAGAAATCAAAACATTCTTAATGAAAGAAAACTAAGATAATTTATTGCCAGGAGACCGTAACTAAAAGAATGGCTAAAGGATGTTTCTTGAAAAGAAAGGAAATGGTAAAAGAAGGTACCTTGGGACATCAAGAAGGAAGAACATGAGTGATATGTTCCAGAAAAATCTGGAAGATAAATGTCTAGGCTTGTATATCCCCTGAATTTATTTTCATGAACACAGAGAAATGCATGGACTGGAGATGAGTCCCAGAAAAGATGCCTTCTCATTTCCAAACATGATCTTGGGCAAGTCACACATGGGGGTGAAGATTGTCAACTGTCTACCATGTGTTGTTCTAGCTGCTGTTACATACACTATTTCCACACCTACCCAAGAGTGAAATAACTTTGATGGACATCAGCCAAGCCTTGGGGGATGAAAGTAGTGTAGCCAAAGTCACATGACTAGTGCTAGAGCCAGAACTCAGACCTAGTATTTCACAACCATAAAGCCAATGCTCTTCCAGCTGGTCACACTGCCTCACTCCTCCCCAAATCTCTGGGATGGAAATATCAGTAACAGGCAGATCTTCCTCTGCCTACTCAAAGCTTACATATTTAGACTACTTATTCCTTAAAGTAAGGATTCAAAAAAGAGAATAAGTATGAGAACATATTAAAATAAATCAACATAATATGTTCCGAGCACAGATGTGTATTCAGTGTATGGACACAGAATATAAATATATTTGTCCTTATAAAAATGTATGGTGAAATAATTACTCAAGTTGCAGTTTCTGCTTAGGGTTATCTTGGATCAAGAAGCAGAGAATCACTCAAACTGCCTGACGAAAATGAAGCCTACTTATTATATTCTATACATGCATGGAAACTGGAACAGTAAGAACCAATGGTGGAAGTTCTGGGGACAGATCTTCTCTATCTCTTTTTTGTGGGTCATGTGGTTTCTTCCTCAAAGGAATCTATAGTTTCATCCACTCTTTTTATTGCTCGTTTCTGCCTTCTCTGAACTTTTGCCTACCATGTGACACTTGGGCCCTTTCCACATGGCAGTCTTTCAGCTCCAATTTCTAAATGAAATGCCTCACTAGCTAAATATCTCTTGGCTCAGATTTTTGAAAGGAGAAATCTGTTTGGCTCAATTTATCTTTTCATGCCAGCCCCCTCATAAAACACTGGTCACCCAATGTATTGACTGCCAGATGTATAGCAGAAACATGCTAAATATTTGTTGATTGAATTTGTGAAATGAATGCGCTTGAGTTGCAAATTTTTTTAACAGATTGTAAACAGGATGAAAAGATTAACATCAGATGAAAAATGATTGCCAAAGAACTGCCCCTTCAGCTCTGGGTAGGAGTGGTCCAGAGACTCTCCAGCTACGTAAAATATTGGCTCCCAAATGATTTTGTTAAAAATGGAAAGTTTCACGGTTAGGCTTTCACTGGTACAAAAATCACAGATTACGTATCAATTCTACCATTAGTTTGAATCAGATTTTCATTAAGCCAGAAAATATTTTTAGACCAATTTTAACTAAAATATGGACTAAAATCAGTATTAAAGTATACTTAGGGCAGTTATGAGTGGAAAAACCTTTGAATTTAGAATTTTGGCTTGGCATTTGAGTGGGGGGTGGATAATGTATATTATTTCCATCTCCCTTCCATTGTAATTGAATTTCACCCCATTCCATTCCCTAGTTCAGGGTTAATCTAATCTTTCATTTTCTATACTTCTGGTCTGCTGAATATTATTAGAGAAATTCAAGTAACTCTGCCAATTGGATTTATTCCAAATTCACAATGTTTAATGTCAGCTGGACCTTGGGTGCTAGTCAGCATCTGTTTTTATTCATTTTTTTTTTTTAAAAATCCCATCAGATTTCCTCTATTAGTTAGTTCAGATCTTTTTCATATAACTCCAAGGGCTGAACCCATCTATCATCACCCTCCCATTTCTCTGATTCCATTTGTTCCCTGGCTCTTATTGCCCAACTCGATCCCCTTCTGTTTCTATATTTCTCTTGAAGAGTTCATCCACTGTTATATCTTCAGGTGGAATACTACCAAATCTTCTTTTCTAATGATTTCTACTCAGAAGTGAACTATGTAATGACAAAATGCATTTTTTATAAGATGTGATGAGACAAATGAAAGATATTTAAGTATCAGGATGATAGAGCTAATATACTAGAATATAGAGAGAAGTAAGGGTATGGAAATAGAAATATAA